TTAAATTTACTACTCATAAATAATAAAAATAAAAATAAAAACTCCAAAAAGTGCCTTACTCGTTCACAGAGCTATTATTTTTCAGCTGACAAAAAAGCTTGCAAGATCTAATTTTGAAAAAATTAAAAAATTAAAAAAATTGACTAAAATTGTTGAATCCACTGATACAGGAGCTTCCCACCGATTTTTGTTTTGGAATCGGACGTAAAAATTACGCAGGAAATTTGCTTTCTTTACTTTCTTCCCACCAAAATCTAATGCCAAGATTTCACTTTTACTGCTCTGCACCATGCCTCATTCCTATCAAAATCCTTGCTCTTCCTCTTCCTCACTCAAAACCCGCATAGCTCTCCTCTCCCCATGTCGACCCCCGCAGCCCCCGCCAAATCGCGCCTTCGTGGCGTCGTTTTCGACATGGACGGAACTTTGACGGTGTGCCTCATCGACTTTCCAGGAATGCACAGGGCCGTGCTTGGAGAAGACGAGTACGAGAGAGTCAAAGCAGAAAACCCGTCTGGTATTGATATTTTACAACATATTGAGAACTGGAGTCCCGAGGAACAGATAAAAGCTAACAAGATTATTGCTGATTTCGAGCTCCAGGGGCTTCAGCGTCTCCAAGTCATGCCTGGTTAGTGGATTTCATTATCATTTTCTCGTTGGGGGCTTAAACACTTGTTTGTTGGTCGTGACTGTTATATATTTCTAGTAATGTTGTTGTTATATCGACTGTTGCTTCATTTTTAGGAATTTTTCTTACTTAACTTGGGTCAGGATCATTGTCTGTATCAGCAACTGCTTTTGGTTAACTGTGTCAAATTGGGATATTTTGAATTTTTTCGATATTTGAGGTCTAGGATTCAGACCTCAGCTTGTCCTTTGCCATTGGACCAACGCCCTCAAGATGTATATGTACATTAAGCCAGTTAGTTAGAGGTTTACTGATGCTTGGCGTTGCAGAGGATTGAACCCCTAACCTTGACCCAAATCAAGGTTTTTAAGTCAGTAGGTGGTAACTTGACCAAGCTGTTGTTGGTTGTACCTATGTTATTTATTGGAATGATGGATGATTTTAGTTTCAGATAAGTCATCTCAACATGGGTGTAAGTGTTGGACTAAACTTATTTAATAAAGATTTGGTTAACAACTGTGCAGGTGCAGCTGAACTTTGTGGCTTTCTTGATTCAAAGAAAATAAGGTGAAGTCATGGAATCAAGCTTACATCGTTTGAGCTGCATCTCTTTTCCTAGACATCAATGCTGCACATTTTTAGCTATTGACAAATTCTTTTGCCATTTCTTCAGGAGGGGGCTAATCACTCGCAATATCAAAGAAGCTGTTGATCTGTTCCATCAGCAGTTTGGGGTAAGCTGTTTGAGGTGTGAATTGATCTTGTAAGATCAGGTCATTTAATTAAGTTAGCTTGAATCTGATAAACTTATGTATGATGGGATAGAAAAGATGGAAGTCACCAACAAGAGCATAGCTGAGTTCCTTTATGCCAAATCCAAAGGATGGAGAGGGCTGTAAATTCCATTACATTATACATACTCTGGAATTTGGATGAGAAGAATAATTTGGCTTTTTTTCCTTTATAAAGTTTTACTCGTAATGATAATGGTTTTAGACTTTTAGTATCTGTTTCTCAGGTGACCTTTTCTCCAGCACTTAGCAGGGAATTTCACCCTCGTAAACCAGACCCTGCTCCACTACTACAAATTTGTTCAACTTGGGAGGTTCAACCCACTGAAGTCTTGATGGTTGGTGATAGTCTAAGAGATGATGTGAGCTTTCCTCGCTTCCTTCCAACTCCAAAACTAGCACAACAATAAGCAGAGAATATAAAAAGATGATTTCTGGTTCTTTTATTACCTTACTCAATCACTACTTTCTAGGCATTTGAACACTTGAATGTGAACTTGTAGTACATGTTGCATGTAATTTGATGATATGGTGTCTTTGATAAGATCTATCTGATACTAACATAGAGTTTTCATATAAATTTTGGATAATTATGAACAGGAAAACGAAAAGCAAAAATCAAATATTTTGCTCTTTGTGTCAACATGTTTGTGTACGCGGATTTCTGTAATTCTTTTGAAATGAAACTCTTGTTCTTAATGAAGACTTATTAGGTGTTATTACTTGGAATTTGCAGGTGGTCTGTGGAAAACAAGCTGGAGCATATACATGCTTACTTGATGATAAAGGGGTGTATGACTCTCCTCATTTTGCCAACTTGGATCCTCAACCTGACTTCAAGGTGTCGTCCTTAACTGAACTTTACTCAGTGTTGGAGTCCAATTTCGACCTTACACCTTGAGTTTCAAGCTTATTATTGAAAAATGTCTGAATTAATATAGAATGTGTAGATTGAAAAGGCTGCAACAGAAAGCTTCTATGGTAGTATCTTTCTTTGTTCCCAGCAAGATCATACTGGGATGGGGGCCTGGGAAGTTCTCCTTTACTTTAGTCATCTTTGTCAATGTTGTGGCCTATTATGTCTAGCTTGTTCTTATCCCTTAAACCTTAAGCAAGACTGCTGTTGAATATGCAGATCTCACTCTAAGCCTCCCCAATTCCACTTTTGGGCTCCCATATGTACTGAAAAGTATTGTTGTAGCAAATCAAGGTTTGAATGATGCAGCAGTCAACATCATTGAAGAAGCTTTTTTTTTGAATGATTTTCTTCATAGAAGCTTTAGCAATTTGTTGTTGTCCAATCACATGTTGTCTATGAGATTTTTTCCTTTTTTCCTTTGATTCTTCACATGCTGAATCTAGTTCTCACATGATCAGCTTGGCTAATTACAATTCACAGAAGGTTGCTTTTCTGCACAAACCTTAATAAATGAACAAGGTTTTGAGGCTGGGTCCATGAATTGAGATTTCATTTTTCCTTTTATATTAGGTGTAGGTTCACTTCCCTCTTTCCTTGCATATCTCAATGGCCTCAGTTTGTTTTGTCTAGTAGGTGAAAACTTACATGCAACTCCACATGTGTTACTGTTGGCCTGCTCCATTACCAAGCCAGAGCCATCCTTGAGGCTTACTTCATGGGGTGGAGCCCTTTATTAGCTGTTAAATTATCACCACATGGGGCTAGCGCTTGGCCCTGCCCTTATTTTGAAATTCTTTATGTAATTTTGCCAAAAATAAAAATAATGCATATTTCCTCCTACCTTTGTATGATATAAGAATGCTTTTTGAGGCACAAGTTGACTAGTGATTACTCTTCTTTTTTTTTTTTAAGTGGATTGCATGTTTTTTTAAAATACGTAATTTTAAGTTGTTTTTAAGAAAAAAAAAATGTTATTAGTGAATTTTAATAGTACATTCTTAATTTAATAAATATATTTGTTTTTTCAAATTTTAAAGGGATGTTTTTATGAGTAGATTGGAGTGGAAATACATTTTTAACTGAAAATCAAGCTAAACATTTCCTTGGTAGTTTTTTTCTGTTTAGGGTACATATTAAGTTTGCAATTAATATATCTTTTTAGTAGTTAAATTACTTGAAAAAGTAAAATTTTTTACATTAATTTCAACAATAATATCACATGTATTATTTTAATTGATTTGTTAATAAAATTAAAATCAATTTTATTTTTGTCTAAATTACCTAATAGTTAAAATGTGCAATAATTGCATTAATGTACGGGTTAGTAAAATATATTTTTGTGTTCTTAGGTTGGTTAATAAAAGGTAATTTGCACCTACAGTTCGTTTGTTTTGGTCGAGTGCACTTAAACTCATTGTTTCGATCAGAGTTTAAAACTATAGTATGCAGTCCCCTCTACTCTCCCTCACATTCCCTCCTATTCAAAAATAAATAAATAAATAAAAGGTAATTTTTTTTAAAATTTTAATTACATAATAAAAAATAATTATTTTTAATCTTTTATCTCACCTTTTATTTTACTTTCAATGAAAGAACATAATCATTAAATTATTTGATTAGTTGGCAAAGGTAATTCACTTTTATTTATCCGTATGTTGTGCAGTTCCAACAATTTTCTACTTTCAATAATAACAGATTATAGTAATATCATATTGAGTTATCTAATGTTGAAAAAACATTTTTAATATTTCTTAGGGTGTGTTTAGATTGTGATTGAGAGTTTTTTTAGCTGTATAATATTTTTAAATAAATATGTATTTGGTAATTTTTTTTAGTTTATTTAAAAAAAAAACTAAAAAAAGTTACAGTAAATTTATAATAGTTATATATATATAATTAAAATTTTATTTTGAAATTTGTTTACTATAACTTTTACAAATAATGTTTAATATTTAATATAATTACAAAATTATTTATTAAAGGGTTACGAAAAATTAAGACATCCTGATGTTTAGTATGTACATTACTATAGTTGATTACATGAGTCTTAATTAAAGACTATTTTTTTATGATTGTGATAGACGTTTTAGTGTCAGGACGTCTTAAATTTTATATTTTTCATTCAATAAAACTAAATCTTGTTTAATTTAATTATATTATAATTTATAATATTTTATTTAAACTTAATCTTTTATTTATTCAAAAATTTTATAAAAAATTAAAAACTCATTCTCTCTTTATAAGTTGTTATTTTATGAAATTCAAAAAAACACTAATTATAAAAACTTAAAATAATATTTTTAAAAAAT